TCCGTCCTTATAGTAAAATTCAGCTTTGACCGATTTGCTGAGCATATGGATTATACAAAGCTATTGAAATTGCATTACATTAATCAACAGATCTTGATATTATAGAAACGTTTTCAAAAATATCTAAAAGGAGAGATTCTATGCTTTCATCGACCACCAGTGGCCGAGTGGTAAAGTCGCTGAACACTGGTAGTTCGGTCCGAGCTTCGAATCCCGTGAACGGGCTGGCTACATGGGCATTTTCGTGGCTTTCTCCATGTGTAACGTGTATACCAGCCAGTTTCCTTTAGAACGTCTACCACGAAGGCATCTCTTCACTTAGGCAGATAAACCTCGAGGCTTTGCCTTAATAAAATAAACAAAACCTATCTCTGCTTTCACCATGCCAAAAATGGAAAATATTTTACAAGAGAAATAACTTAGAATGTCTTCATCTTAAACGCAAGATTTTCTGTGCGCTTAAGATAGATTAGACATAAAACTACTGACTTTTTTAATGCTAATTACAGGCCAACATATTATTCATAAAAAGTGTCTAATATTTTCATTATTTTGTTTACATATCATCTAGGAAAAGTATAATTTTTCGATATTCCTGGTTTTCATTTTTGAACGAGATTTTAAAAATCTTACAAGATGTGTACTCAATCCCTATTCAGATTGATTCAAAACTTTTAATAGTATATTAGGGACAGAAGTCTCGCAAAATTAAATTTTTCTCATTAATTTACTTCTTACATATATTTTCCGTCTTTGCAAGTATTTTCAAGAGTTCTTCCTCCTTTACAGTAAAAAATATACAGAGTAAATTCTTCAGCATTAAAGATATCTCTTCGTAAAATATCCAACCGAGAAAGAAAGAAAGAAATTTTTCATCCTAGACTTGATTCTTCAATACTGCTTCGCCACTACTCGTAGGGTACTTACACAAGCTATGATTTTATTCCATAAAACACACGATAAGGGAATAAAAACAAATATAATTTCATTTAAGTTTCCTTCTCTAATGCATCTCAGAACTATATATAAGTATTAAACAGGTTTTTTCTTCGAAAAACATGTCAGAAGCATTTTGCATTATAGTTATACCAGCAAGTTTTTCTCTACTGAAAAAAAATTCCGAGGCTAAATATTTTATTTAACCTGATTACATTTCCATTTAACGTTGGTATCGGCATCATTAGTTTTACTGCAAAATAAAACGTATTAAGACTCAGACTGTATAAGTTAAAGGTATTTAACAAAAACAGTAAATTGGAACTGCTCACTGAGTTCTAACATAAATATACGACGGGTCAACACTTCGAGATTTTCGGACAGCACGTACTCACTTGGAAATTAGACAGGCTTTGGAGAATATATTCGGACTCAGCTCAAAATAACCTCAAACCTTTCAGCAATGAATATTTTTTAAAGAATGAAAGAATGCGTGGCTCTTTGGTAGAGTATCCTAATAAAAGTAAAGCATGCTTTTTGGATGCACTGTACATCATAGGCGAGTTGTATTAATGTGGTAATTTAGCTTCTTGAGTAGGAATTTTACAGGCAATTGAAGAGTTCTGATTAAATTCAGTTACAAAATTAAGTTACAAAATTATTTTAAAACTAACATTATCAGATCGAAAATCTTTATTACAGACAATCATAATAACATAGACTACACGCGAATTAATTTTTAAAGCAACGACTTCGACAGGATTTAATGGTGGTGTATTTAATTATGGCAAAGCACACTAGGGCTATCTGCCTAAGGGGTGAGATGTCTTTCGTGGAGGACTTTCTAAGGGAAACTGGCTCGTATACACGTTACACATGGGGAAAACCACGAAAACGCCCATGCAGCCAGCCCGTTCGCGGGATTCGAACCTCGGACCGAACTACCAATGTTCAGCGACTTTACCGCTCGGCCGCTAGTGGGCTCGACAGGATTTGGATATGCTGGATTATGGCAAAGTATGTAATGCTTACGAAAGATATCAAGTTAATAAAATTGCAGTATGAAATCGGAAATTCTTCTGGCAACAGATTAATAAAATTCTTTTTTGAAATTATGCACTAATAAATGGATGATGATCAGAAAAACATTTGAAATACATTAACAGGACTAAAAAAGAAAAATGTGACCTTTCATTTTAGAGTCCAATGAATATTTTAAGCAATAAATAATAAAGACATAAATAGAAGTGCAAAATAAAATATTAAAAAGGTCCAATGTTTAAAGGGGAGAAATGTAATGAAAGACCTTGATCTAGAGAAAGATCAAATCTAGCATCTCATGACCACTGAAAACATAATAAAATATCACGGAGAAAACAATATTCAGAAGAAACATTGGTCTGCAAAATATCGAGGTGGCAGAAAAGCAACAACAAAACACAGCAGTTCAAAACATTTTAATATAAAACATCGAAAAGCAAGGTAGAGATATAAAACTCAATACAGAAACTTCTCATAAAAGAATGTCATATCAAATCAAAAATAATGACCTACAAGAATATTTGCTATTGGACTACTATGTGTAATATTTAGTTTGATTTAGTTTGCCTGTCCCTTAATTAAAACTCGAACTAAACTCTTTGAAAAGTATATTATATAAAATACAGAAAACGTAAACGTACCTTAATCTTTCCTCTATAGTGAAGCCCTTATCATCACACTACAATCTTAAAAGCAGGCTTACAGAATGTTTTTCAAAACTTCTAAAAACACAAAATGCACATTAATGCGATGTAACTGTAATGCGATGTTTTATGGCTGCTTTATTTCTCACCACAATGATTTTACTAATAAAATCTTGAAATTAACAAGATTTCATTAACCCTTTCCGGCATGCTACCTTTTAAAGTCCGAGTTTTGATTAAAAAAGAAGGTAGGCAGTTTAATTAGGCCTAGAGGAGTACACAAGTAAAATTTTGTGAAGATAGCATTTATCGTTTTAATTCTGTGGGTGTGCCCAAAATGGCACATTGATTGAATAGAGCTTCGAAAAGAGTGCTGAAACGAGCATTGTTGTCAATGAACTGACCGATGAGATGCGGAGAAACAAAGAATACAGACTCTCAGTTGTCCTAGATTATCGGTGAGCCCTGTCTGGGCCCACCTAGGGTTCGCCGTTTGATTTTAGGCAAGATTTCAAGGTAAAATTTAAAACTAATATAGAATAAGGAGATTAGATACAGTCCAAAAAATACATAGAAATTTCTTTTCAAACAATTCCTTTTATACCATAAAAAATCGGAAGATTTCTTTGAAAAATGAGGTCTTAAAAAACTAACATGGCTAAAATATATGGACTGGTTTGTGATGAGCTGCCATCTACTATAAATAAAGAAGGTTCAGAGTAACCTATACTAATCTATAAATCCTTTTTCATTCAATTTTTCTGTGCGTACAGAAGAAAATTTTTAGGTGTGTCCAGACCGGACACACTGTGCCGCAAAGGGTTAACGCTTTCCTTTCTTTCCGTTTTGAACTACAATGTTTCTTCTTTGCGTATGTTTCCTGTGAAAATGTTCGTAACCGGAGTGTTTCACTTATAATTCAAAAGTTTCAGTATGTTGGAATATATATTGTGATACGTGTATGGACCTCCTTCCCAGATGAGGTCGAAAGTAATAAAATGCAGCAAGATGTTTAAGGATTGCAGTTAAAGGGAAACGTCATAAATTAATCATTATAAATCGAACTGTTCCGATATGAAATTGCAACTTATTCGCGTTCTTCCATTTCAAGTTGAAACAGTTTCCCTGACGGTAATCAGAAATTGTTCGAGTTGAAACGCTTCAAATTTACCTCAATTAGAAAATACAAAATTCTGCGTTGGGTGTCATCTGCGTCGGCATGTTGGTTAATGGAGGAGGCTACCACGCCACTGAACCTGGTCAAAAATCTTCGATAAGACTCGGATGTTTGTGATCATTGTATGTGTTACCGTGAAAGACAGAAAGTGGAGAATATCGACTTTCACCGGAGAATATCAACATCATTCACCAAATACGTCGGTGAAAGACCGAATATTTCACTACATTCTTGTATATTCGGACCCTCACCGGTGTATGTCGACAATCACAGATATGCTCTGGTGAAAGTCGAAAAGAGAGTCATAAGAGTGCATAATAGTTTAAGTTGTTGCAATAAATAAGATTTGAATCACATAATTTAGTAAGTTTTTTTATTACTGTTATTTTATTTTCTCATTTAGAACGCACTGTATAATTAAGTAAGTTTTTAACTTCTATTATTTTCCTTTCTCATTTTGAATGTATTGTGTGTTTTAGGTTCTCATGTTCTTAAGTTCTTATTTCAAGTCTCAAATGCTTTTTCGCGACTGAATTACGGAGAAGAAAATATAATATTGTTATATGTTCAACATTCACCATTTACAATGGTGAATGTCGACATTGACCGGTGTAAGTCAGAATAAGAGTATTTGGAAAATATTTCGGACATACACCAAGAGACTATGTGAATGTTGACATTCACCGGTGAAAGTCGGCATTCTCCAGATTTCGGTGTTTCACCGTAACATATGCATACGGAATAGAAGCGTGTAAATTCGGTCTGTTGGAAAGTCGTTTCTACTAATTCGTGGCAGAAAAGAAAAATACTGGAATCATATATACCCTCAAAGGATGCTTCAATTAAAACTGGGATGCTATTAGGCTGTACAGATGACTGCTAAACCCCATTCCAATCAAACAAGTATAGATCTAGGATACCAAACTGGTTTCATAGGATCTACATATGTTTACCCGTGGTACGTATCGGATGCCAATTCTGTAGTCGCCCTCAACGAAGGCATCCATCACAAAGCCCTTATGTGCTTTTCATTCATCATCTGACTGTATACAACAAAAAATATGACATGATTATTATTATATATTATTCCTTTTTTAGACACTTTCCTCCTTTTCTCAAACAAATATAGTGAACCGAAACTATTGCAAGAGATTATGTTGCTATTAATGGTGGTGCGTTTAGTGTGTATATTTAATACTTACAAGCCATGACAGGTCTACGATCTTCCCTGTTGCATCTTGACACCACAGATTGTCGTCCGCTATGAACGGCATTGCCTAGGACGATCTTGAACCTGTAATTAAAAGAATATATATTATAATTCCAGAAGTAATCTCTAATCAAGAATTCACCTTCAGAACTTATTAATAAATTATATATATCCACTATGTATATCATTCATCTTTTTAACACTTAAAATCCTTTTCAAGGTTATTCACCAATTTTCTTTCGGCTACCTTTTAAGTCTGCTTAATTAAAGAAATGTTTCTACAAATGATATTTTAGCTTTTATGGGCAAAATGTGTTGGCAATAAAAACAAAATATGAACCATTCCCAAAATGCGTAAAGAAATTTTAATATGCAAAACATTTAACACGCACAAATTTGAGAAATTTGTATTTCAATGAGTTTGCAACGTTGGTATAGTAGGTATAAAAATGCATACAATTACGGATTTTTAAAGGAATTTTATCACGTAAATTTTTTAATTAAAAATTATACTGACTTTTTAGGAACCAACCATTATTCCTAAACTGGCTCGTCTCCCGGAGCCGGAGAATTCTCTATCAAAATTTAAATGGAAGTAGGCAAATTCTCACTGTCACCTATAAAGTGCCCAAATATAGCATCACCTATAAAGTGCCCAAACAAACGACAGATCGCAACCCTTTTCTCTTTGTCATGATGAATTCGTGGACCTGATTTGCTGGACTATGCAGAAAGCTTTCGGATAATAAAGATTAGTCGCAACAACAACACATGTCTAATTTACATATACCTACCTGCTTACTATCCTCTTATAACAAAGTAGTAGCTGTTGTTGTTGCTTTTCCGCCGGTTTCTTACAAAGCCAGACAAGGTTCAAAAGACCGCAGACTCTAAGAAAGTCGAGCACAAGGAGGGGATTGGAGTAAATATCCTCCCTAGAGAGGCCCAAGCAGCTTAATATATGCCCGGCAGACGCCTGATATTCTCGGCACTTGGTGCATGTAGCAAAGATTTTCATGCCCTTCTTGAAAGACATACTCATAATATGACCGCTGGCGATACGTGAGAGCGCAGTTCGGGAGCATCTGTCACACTCAAAGGGTTAGAATCCAACCAGGTTTGCTGTCCAGGTACCAGAGATGGGTGGAGAGCACCAACCACTCCACTACGATTTGTGATGTTTTCAGAGAATATAATTCCAGACAGGTAAGGACGGAAGAGGAGGGAGTTAAAAGGCCACAGCTCTCCTTCGATAGTTTGTCTACCATTTCGTTGCCATAAAGATCCACATGGGATGGGATTCACTGAAAATTGATATCATGATGCTGAGAAATTAGGTGTAGGTTTTGTAGGACAGAGATACTAGTCTTATTGCCCACGGAAATCTAGTTACTAAGATGTTGAAGTGAACTTCGGCTATCAGACAAGATCCATTATCTTCAAAATTATTCTCCGTTAATATAGCCTCTAGTCCTAAATCGATTGCTATCAGTTTACTTCTGAAAACTGAACAGTGATCTGGATTACTTTGACGGAGTGTCATGTTTCTTCGGAGGGTCTCAATATAGATACCACTACCTGCATAGTCAGCAATTTTGCTGCCGTCTGTGAAGATCTTGGTAGCATTTTTGGGACTATTGTCTATTACCTCCAAGGCCAACTGTCTAAGGTGGTCAGTAATATAATCTTTCTTATTTATAAGAGTGGAAAAGTTACAGCGAAAGTGAACCCTGGAGAGTCCCTGGGTTTAAACAGCATTATAGTGAATGAAGATCAACATTACAAAATAATAGGCACTTGGAAGCAACTAGGCCAAAAGGGGTGATTTTCTTTAGCCTTCGTCGGTTTTTACATTTATTTAGGTACGCTGATGTTTTATTGTATTGGCCACAACTAAAGAGTTTGTTAAAGGATTTAACCCACCAGCTAGTCTTCTAGTCTGTAAATCTGCCTTAAAAGGGCTATTTCCATAGGGAATCTGTGGCTCATCCCAGTAATATTACGAGCAGCACCTAATTGAACGTTTTCTAATTTCTTCAGGTTGGAATCAGAGGCACAATAATAATCTGGAAACCCGAACTCGAGTATGGGACGAATTTGAGTGACAAATAAAGTCCTGAGGGTACACGCGTCAGCTCCCCAGTCCTTACCCGCAATGTATTTAAGAATGTTTACTCGCTTTCTACTTTTCAAAACAATATGTTCAATATGTTTGTGACATGTGAATTCAGAGTCTAGGTTAATCCCCATGTATTTAGTGTGCTTTTCTTAGGCAAGTTCCTGATTATTAAGCATCATCAAGTTAGGCTGATATTTGTAAATGTGCTTATTTAAAAAAAGTAACAATTGATTTGGCTGGGTTAAAACATAGTGTCAATTCCGCATAAAAGTTTGACAAAGCTGTCAGAGAATTATTGAGTTTCGATTCTATTTCAGTTATATTAGTGTTAGAGTTTCAGAGAACAATGTCGTCTTCAAATATTCCAAAAAAGTTTAATTAAACAAAGTGGTACAAGATATTAATGAATAAAGATAACAGCTTTTTAAAATAATACGGAAGTGCCAGTCTTGTCTCGTTAGCTTTCTAGTGGTAAAACTAAAACTTGCATCCATTATTCTATACTTTTCTTCTTACACTAATTTTAATACTGTAAGAGCGTCTGAATTTTTATAGAAACACTTATAAAATATGGATCCTACGTAGCATTCGTCATCTTGTTTTGCCCATAATATTTTGATTCACTAATTACGTTGATAATCATATTTAACATCAGACCGATATCTAAATTATTCAAGAAAATAAAAGAAATTTTTACAGAGAAGGATAACTTGTATAGATAACTTGTATAGAGAGATTTCATAGGAAATTGTGCAATTAATAAGTTATTACTTGTTAGTAACAACTAATAAAAAAGTTTTGCATATTAATTTCGAAACAGTAAAGTCAGTTATTAGCTCTATTTATTAGCATTACATAGTTAATTATTGAAACAAAAATAAAATAAATAATGCTAATAAATACGGAACGATGTTCCTTAAAACGTGCGTGATGTATGTTAATGCAATTAAATATTAATTTAAATCGACGAATAATCAATCGATTCAAAAAAGGAAGAAAATTTGATGGTCATTTCACTGAAAGGATTTCAAGAGCAAAGAAGGTCATCTAAAACCGAACACGTTTATATGGCCTTGACAATTGGCAAAACCCTAACAGCTAAGTTGTCTTTGCATATTTAGAAAGCCAGTGAAAATATTATCGTGACTACGCCTCTAACATTGAAATGTACGGCTGGTATTAAATTAGTCCAACTCTTAAGGAAAGCAGATGCTGTCATTTCTACAGTTATCAATGAACCACTTAAAGAAATGGTTACGAAAAGAGCTCACGCATTAACATCTCTAGTTATCAGGTTAACAATCAGAATAACTTGGTTGGCATATTTGATTATGACAAGGCACTCGAGAGCTATCTGCCTACAGGAAGGGATGCCCTCGTAGATGACTTTTTAAAGGAAACTGGCTCGTACACACGTTATACATGGGAAAAAACCACGAAAACGCTCATGCAGCCAGCCCGCTCGCGGAATTCGAACCTCGGACCGAACTACCAGTGTTTAGCGATTTCACCACTTGGCAGCGGGTGGGTCTACGATTAAAATGAAAATCAGACTACAGAGGCTAGATTGTTATTATCTACCAGATTTGCCATAGAACTATACACATCTCTTTCGGTTGACATTAATTGACAAGGAACGAGGAAATATAGTGAAGAGGGCTGGAAATATATTTTAATTATTTCAAAGAAACTAGTTTCTACTGTTCTGCAAATTAATGAGTAAACAGAGCAACAGAAGCGGTAACTCGATTCTGATTCTATTACTGGTGATTGAACGGCTGGTTGTTTGGAGATTTTCCGAGGTTTTTCTCACTTGCAATGTAAATACTAGCAAATACCTTAAGAATTTCTGTACGAAAGTAGCCTTTTCTCTGGAAATAATTCTCGAGAGTTTTACCGTACTTAATCGCCGAACTAACGTATCAAAAGAAAACGATAATCCAGTTTCGAGTCAGATTTACCAACACGGAATTTTATGAACAAAGCAAGATCTTCGTGAAACTATTTTGGGCGTTGTAATGCATAGAATTACCAGACATCCGAACAAATTTCCGAATTTAATCTCTTTTTAGTATTTAAGTTAGTTTAAACAAAGTGAGAAGCCATACATATGATCATCCGACCAGAAGGTCGTTTCGATCATTTCGGAGACAGCTCATTTTATAGCCTTTCGCATTTTTATGGAGGAGGGAAGAGGTTAACATATATATCTAACACTTATTGCTAAAATGGAAAACCTCACGTCTTCAAGACGCTTCATGAACCTGTTTGAGAATAATGTTCTAAATTCATAAAATAAAACTGAACAAATAAATAGGTGAATTGCATTTTTTATAATTTATTACTTACAATTCAAGTTATTAATATTTGCAACAATTAAATATACACACATGCTGAAAATGCTCCCCTTCCCCTCAAAAAGGAGGAAAATAAGAAGGGTAAAGAAAAGAAAAGAAACCAATCTAATTGAAAGTTCAGATACTCACCTAGGTAAGCTAATAAAAGAATAAAAAGAAAATGCTGTATTTAAGCACTGCTAATTGATATTGGATACCTTCTACATTCAGCTTTATCATGTTACATTTTAGTTTAACAGAATTTATTTAAATATTAAATACTTTGTATTTTGATTTCCTCCTGATTTTATAAGAAAAAATGTAAACTTGCTCGTTTTTTAATTTCAAAACCTTTTTACCATACTTACGACTGCAACCAAGCAAAAGCAACTTTTAATTCTTACTTTACAAAATGGAAGAAAGTTAAAATGATAACAGCTGCTAGGTACAAAAAATGTAATACTCTGTTTAGTAATCAAAAATCACATGCAATTAAAAATGTTTTGTCCAAATATATATATATATATATATATATAGATAAACCTCTAAAAATGTTGTCGGTTTTCTTAAATTTAAACTACCCAAAAGTTTTGAATTTAAGGTCTAATTCGTGTTAATAATGCTAATTT